GTCAAACATTTAATTAACTCACCCCTAATGCCTTGGCAGGGTTAGACCAACTGACTTCATGGGCCTTACATGGCCCACGGGCTGGACATTCCCCACCCCTCTCCTATACCATATGTAATAAATTGAACTGCAAGCATGTCTAGACTATGTGGTACTTCTGTGTATCAATAACAATAATGATAATGGTTTTAATGGCAAGAAATATAATGTCTATTTTTACTAAGTAAAATTTTACTAAAAAATGTACATACATTATTTTGGACACCTAGTATTTTACCAAAAATTGTCACTGTAACTATCTTGCCTTGGAACAAGGTAATACACAAACCAAGCCAAATACATTTAGAGTCAGATACTGAGTTTGTTGGATACTCTTCATGTAAATGACTTAAATAATCTGATAATCTCATCTCTTTATAAGATAACCAAAAACATTATTTAGTTTTTGGTGTTACTAAACTTTTCTTTAGTAAGCAAGCTAGAGTAATTGAGCTAACTTGTGAGCAACACTTACTTCTAATAAGTGGGCCTTAGAGGTAAATGAGTAAATGTGTAACTAGGAGTATGTCTATACACATGCAGTGACCTAAGGAACATAGAACTATAAAGACCAGTGCCCTATTTTTGACAAAGAAGTATAGCAATGGACTAGTAAAAGGGGACCAAGCCACAAGCTGGGGTTATTGTAATTGATGTATTGTAATCTGCATATTTGAATGGCAGGTGAGATCAAGTTTTGCACTTCCTCTTTCTCCATAACAAGAGCCTTTGTGGGGGACTCAACAACAGCTAAACCACAATCCAAGAAATGCGATGGCCAAGACATGCATTGCTGGCCCCATACAACCTGGATAAGAAAGACTGACATGACTACATCCTACCCTGGGACCAAAGTGTTGGGGAAATGCAGATATTATCACCGATTTCTTAACTACCCTCTCTCACCCACCAAATAAACGTTCATTTTAAGAATCTGAGTGTAGTCATTGTTTGTTTCAACTTATCCACCCAGCTGATTTACAGAAGAGGAACAAATAACTCATTTCTATTGATGAAATAGTTGTATCTCTGATCCATAGGTCTAGTGCTGAAGGCATCAGAATATATATCAAGCACAGCAAGGCACATTTTCTTTTTTTAAAAAAATATATTTTATTGATTTTTTACAGAGAGGAAGGGAGAGGGATAGAGAGTTAGAAACATCGATGAGAGAGAAACATCGATCAGCTGCCTCCTGCACACCTCCTACTGGGGATGCGCCCGCAACCAAGGTACATGCCCTTGACCAGAATCAAACCTGGGACCCTTCAGTCCGCAGGCTGATGCTCTATCCACTGAGCCAAACCAGTTAGGGCAAGGCACATTTTCTTGAACCGTAGTGAGTGTATATATATATTGGATAGAAACCCATACCTATACTGATCTCTGAGAAAGAGACATGCCATTTTCCTCAATGTCTCAGGTGGTTTATCTGCTCTCCATCAGTAGGTGGCTTCTCCTTGCAAGATCTTGATTAGACCCCCATCTCCTCTGGGCCAGGGGCACCCTGTAAGGGGTGTCTGCATCATCACACAGTCATTCTCCATTCTGTCATTCGAGACACTAGATATGTTGTCTAGAGTAATCTAAGTCCTATTCAGGACCTTAGGACCAATCTTTACAAGAACAGATTGATCTGAAAGGTTTGTTTGATGAATTTGAGAAACATATATAGGCAAACTTTTTTGTCTCTTAGTACATCAAATCCTATCCCACAGACTATAGCCTTAGAAGACTAAAGAAATGCGTAACCATTCTTATTTGGAGCATGAGACTCTAATACTTGTCAGTGTGGGGTTGGTGAGTAAGTTAGACTGGCCCTATCTGAGCTTTGTCACGAGGAAGAGCCAGTGGGAAATGTTTGTCCTCTAAGAATTTTTTTTTTTTTGGGGGGAGGGGGGAACGTAGCTATAAGTTTTGAAAACTAAAAGAGTATGCTAGATGAAACAAACATCTACAATAAAACATGAAAGGATGTTTGTGGATAGCAGTGATCAAGCTGGGCAAATATCCTCCATTTGTGAAAGATGAAATCTCTGTCCCTTCAAGCTGTGACCCTGACCCCAGCCAATTGTTTCCTGGGCTAGGGTACAGCCAAAGAAACAGTGAAGATCTCTTTTTACCTAAATAAACATAAAAGCCAGTACTTTAATTACTTTCAGAGGGATCCTTGCTAAGTTCAATACATGAGAGTTATAATTGTGATTCAGAAAGAACCGGGAACCTGTTTCTTTGATGACAAATAAATGGAAAAGCTTGCTATTGACAGGATCAGACAGATCATCTCAGCTAGGGGGACAACTATTGCTGGCTTCACTGAGACTAATGGGAGATCTATCAATATGGTCCGAGAGAGGGGAAAGACAATAGAAAGAGTCAAATAGAAAGCTCATGTATGCTATTTCACTGGAGATGTCGCAGACACAGGGAGGAAACAGGAAGACTTCATGCCAAGAAAGGACAAGACAGGAGCTCATAAGATCTTCAGTGGAATCACCTTACTTACATTCACATAAGTAGTAGTTCATTATTGTACAAGTATATAGTCAATATCACTCAGGAAATCAGGATTTAAACAAAAATTAGGCTAAAGTAGAACTCTGCATGTATTTTCTCACTATTCCTTGGAGGAAATGTCATTCTTTATAATTGATAATTATAAAATCAATGTTCACAAATTTTCTGATTTTAATTATGGTCATTGCTGTAGTTTAATTATTTTGGACTATCACTATAGCATAGAGATAGATTTAATTAATTGTTATTTGCCCAAACATTTTGTAATAATCACCGTCATAGTCTATATAATAAAAGCCCACCGACCTAACAGCAGAACGACCAGAACGACTGGTCAACCAGCCGGTAGCTATGAAGTGCACTGACCCAGACCTTGCTGCCTGTGCCCTGACAGCCCAGAATCCGGTTCACCCACACCCCGGACCCTGACAGGAGAGAGGTGGTAGCCTGATTCCTCGTGGAATTGGCCATTGGTTACCTTGCTGCTGGGGCCAACCTCCCACAGTCCCTCCTCCTGGCAGTCCTGCCCCCCCCCCTCGCCCCCCATCATCCCCGATCACCAGGCTGAGGGACTCCACCCGTGTATGAATTTGTGCACCAGGCCTCTAGTTTATACATAAAATAACACCTTTATCATGATAAATATAAAACACAACCATTTTAAGAATGAAGCATGTCGAGGCAGTTCAACCCAGGAGTTGAGACAGATCTACACTTAATGCACATTAAAAAAAAAGTGATTATTAGCTTGGACTTAAAATTCAACTCATAGCATATGGTGCTTGTGATTTTTTATAATTTGTCATTATATCCTTTAGATTAAGTTTCTCCTTCCGTGTAACTATGAACTCAAGTATTCTTTTATGCCTAAGCGTATCCTGGCTGACTTGTTGCTATCTGGCTTTTGTCAACTGCTAAACCATGCCAACCAATGGAGTCCTCTTCTCTGGTAGCCTTCTATATCACTCCAGAGCATTTCTGAGAATATCAGAGTCCTCTGGGGACTATTGCCCCACTGCCACGAAACCTAGAGTTTCCTACCCACCTCCAATTCCCTGGGCTGGAAGTAGCTCTCTTTCTTGAAAAATAAAGCCCCCACAAAGGCCCCCACATCCTGGGTGCTAGAACTACAAGTTTTTAGTTTTTGTATGACTTCTGGTTAGAACCACAAAGACGAGAGTGCAGTGTTGGCTATTTCAGTGTTAGTATAGCAATCTTTCATGAGTTCGTACATAGGTTGTAAAATTTCCTCTAGTTTTAAGGAGTTACTTTCTTTTCTTGCTTTTTTACTAGGTTCACAGTCAAGTCTTATTCATTTTCTCTTTTCCTGTGTTCCCAATAAGATTACCAACGAAATTAGCACTCATTCCTTTCACAAAGTTATTGAGGGCCTACTATTTGCCAAGCCCACCCTGTTCTAGGAATTGGAAATAGATCAGTGGTCAACAACAAAATAGACCCTTTCCTCATGGAGCTTCCATGATTTCCAAGGTTGTATAGTGCAGTGGTCGGCAAACTCATTAGTCAACAGAGCCAAATATCAACAGTATAACGATTGAAATTTCTTTTGAGAGCCAAATTTTTTTAACTTAAACTATATAGGTAGGTACATTGTTATTAACTTAATTAGGGTACTCCTAAGCTGGCCTTTGCTAAAAACGTCCTCAATCTGAGGGGTCGACCTCAGCGAACGTACCCCCACTTCTTCTAATGCCACTTCTTCAAAATAGACTCGCCCAGGCCGAAAACAGACTTCTGCGCATGGGCCACGAAGTTTCAATTGCACTGTATGTGCACGCCCGCACGTGGTATTTTGTGGAAGAGCCACACTCAAGGGGCCAAAGAGCCGCATGTGGCTCGCGAGCCGCCGTTTGCCGACCACTGACCTATTGTATTAAATATAATAATGTTAGTACTGTTTATGGTACATGTATGTATAATACATTCTAAATGTTTGTCACTCTTTAATTTCATTATGTGTATCTTTTCCTAACAGTTCTAATTACTTTCTATTAACCATGAAGCAAGAATTCATGATGGAATATCTATGCCAAGCATCTATTCTCAGGGTGTGACTTAGAATTGAATATCCTTACCATCCAAAGGATTGGAGGTTCAAACAACAAAGTCTACATTCACTGTGGTACATATGTGTGGTACTAACTACAATGGAAAGTAGCAATGATTTCCTGAGATGGGTTGTCAGTCCTTAAATATGCATAAATATAGAGCACAAATTCTTCAATTTCAAGAGGATAACATAGAACATGTATGTGAAATACATGATTCTGAAGACTTTCTTACACTATTTTGTAAAATTAGATTGCTTACCTGAAAAAAAAGGTAATCTTATGCTCTTTTTTTGTGTCATAAACATGCACACACATATATATTTTTGTGGCAAACTTAAGTAGAAGTTTTTCTAGGTGTAACTTACCCAATTCTATACACACTAAGAAATATGTAGGAAGTACAAATGTTATGGACTCCATCAGTTTGTTTTCTGCCAAAAGACACAAGGTGCCCCACTTATTTCCCTTTCCTCAACCAGCACCTCAACTGCCACAGAAATGACAGAAAGGCCTGTCTCAGCTTCTTATTCCCCCAAATCAGAATAAATGAGTGGCTTGACGGATACAGGATTCCAAGAACCTTGCAAACCATGTGAAGCGAATTGTTCTGCTGAGTACTCGAATTCCAAAGTGAGATGATTTGAGTGAAGAAAAAAATGAAAAATACCAAGAGAAAGGAGATCACAGTTTGCATGGCTCTTATGTGGACCTCGGTGCTGGGATCTTGAGTTCCTTTGCCACTGAGCTGCATGTTCTTCAGATGTTTCCACATGGAAAAGATTAACAGCAGAACAGCTGCCAGGGACATAGTAAAGGGTATGAAGTTTGCAAGCATGAATAAAGTCTGATTTGAAAGGTGCATAATGTCCCCCAAGTTAGTCTCCCAAGTGATGTTTCCTTTATCTTCATTCATCTGCATTTTTTCATCTGTGCCTACCACTGCAAGATGAAAAACCAAGAAGACCAAAGCCCCCAACAGTATCATGATAACCACTCTTTCAGCTCTCCATTTGAGGTGAAGAAATAAAAGGCTGGAGAAATTGGCTATCTTGAGCAAATAAAATATGCTAAGGCTAGTAGCAAGCCACAGACTAAAATGGTGGCTTGTCATCCAGGCAATATGAAATATAAGTTTTACATCTAAACTATAAAATGCTAGATTAAATACAATTGCATACCAATTTAGTACTAATACACAGAGCAAACAAATTCTGGAGACAGCCAGAGCAGTGAGAATTCCATCAGCGCAGGAGATCTTTTGTCTCTTGACCCAGTCAATGCAGTTCACCAGTGCTATGAAGCCATTGGCAAAATATCCTAGAACAAATTGTATTGTGAATAGGCTGGAAAGAATGGCTGGTAGTAAAGCCATGATGTCTAAAAAGATAAAGAAATCCAAGTCTAATATCACTGGTCGTGATTCTTTTAATATTCTCACCTTAAATTCAATGTGCAGTTGTTTTCTGAATTTGCAGTGAATTTCTGGTTTCAATTCTGCGACCAATGCCAAGCAGGAAAGCTTCAGGGTATGCTAATAGAGAAGTTCAATGCTATCTTTATGGAAAATATTGTTTTCCAAGGACTCCCATTCAAACAGTGTGTATTCCTGCCACTGGCTGGATTATTTCATAACTGATGTTGAAGTGAAAGCTGAATTCTCATTTGCTAGGATGCAAATAAAGACATATTGTTTTGCAATTTTTTCCCTTGTTTGACCCTTCCACAATTTGTGTTCAACATTAGTTGTTTATTAGTAAAACTTGAAAACCCAATATGCAGTGAATGTCTAAACTATTAAATAGAGCTTGGTCATAACTAGGGTGATCATCACTATGAATTTTTTTTTAATGCTAGAATTATGTGGAAAGAATTCAAGCTTTTCCTATTAAAAGCATCCTAGATTTTCTCAGGAACACTCTAAAAGTTGGTTGCTGCTAATTAATAATTTCGCATAACTATATTGTCAACAAGCTCATAAATAGCCCCCCACTAACTCAGACAAATACACGTACATCTGGATGGAATGGATGGAATCAGTGTTCTATACTTTCCAAAAGGGTAAAATTCGTGTCAGGAGGTCATTTAGGTTTAAATCTGACTTTTCTCCCGTGCAGACTTCCAACCCATTATTAACAGCTATCATGCATATCTTTCATGCTTAGGTCTTTGATAAAGTTTCCCTTTTGAGTCTATTTAATATTTAAATATTAATATTTAATTTAAATATTTAGAAATTTTGTAAATATTGAGTACTTCAAAAGAATGTTTTTCATTGCAGATTCCAGACTCCTATTTATAAATATATGCTTTTATTTTTCTCTTTAATTCATTTTTTACTACTTAGTTTTTTAAAGATTAATAGATGTTAAAATCAGCCTGTACAGTTGGGTTTTATTCAGTAACAATTTTTATAGAGTAATGGTGTTCAGCAGAGGATCTTGGAATCAGACTGACACAACAGAAAACACAGATTCTCTGCTTTGTATATCTCTGATCTTAGACTCTTAAAACTACTCTCTGTCTCAGTATAAATCATCAGTAAAAAGTCAGAAAACAATGATATCCTCTTTGGGTGGTCTTTGTGAGTAGTAAGTATACTATAGGGCAGCCGTGGGCAAACTACGGCCTGCGGGCCGGATTCGGCCCTTTTGAAATGAATAAAACTAAAAAAAAAAAAAGACCGTACCCTTTTATGTAATGATGTTTAAATTATAAAGGTGTTTAAAGTGTGTATACATATTTGGGGGGACACCCTGTATTTGTGTTGAGTGCTTCCAATTGTGCCTAATAAGTACACCACCTACTAAGGATTGTTATTCATTTGATCCTGTGTTATTTGATACTTCAGAGTTAACCTGGGAGAGCATAGGCTTTTGAGTACAATGTAGAAGTAAAAGGCAAGATTTCCTCCTATAAAAACCAAGATAAAGGGAGTTAGTTGCCAAAGTTTTATTTTAAATTCATCTGAAAGCTGAGCAAAGCAGGGAGGTCAAATGAACTAAGATCTGGAAAGAGGAGAGTCTTTTCAGGTAAAGAGATTATCTGTATATTCAGTGCAATCCCCTATCAAATTCCAACAGGCTCTAATGGCAGTGAGTAACTATTCATAAAATGTAGATGCCTATACATTGTGCCCAGAATAGCCAGAAGAATTTTTTATAAAAGAACAGTTGGAGCATTACAGTTCCTGGAAGGAAAGAAAGAAGGAAGGACTACCGCAAAGAAGAAGGAAGCAAGGAAGGAAATTAATATTGTTGGATTCTAAAAACAATTATTTTACAGCTGAGAAATTTTGCTTAATGGTCCTCAGATTCCCCTTCCCTCCAACCCCCACCCCCGAATTACCCTACTTTTAAAGTGTTCCTCATTTAGGAGCAAAGTTTTCTGTAAATAACAGTAAGTGACAAGTACAGGTAATGGACAAATCTTGAAGAACAATAGTTTGTAGTATTTTCAGGTAGCTTTGAGCAATTAAAAACTGCACTGATTTTATTATAACATGGTAAAATTATAATTATAAATATGTACTTATTTCTTGGCATATAGGAAAATTTCGATTCCAGGGATATGTTTTAGAATACAAGAAACTCTGAAGGGAGAACACAGGAACAGATTTTTTTAAAAAACTCTCCAAACATTATTAATATACCAAACTCCTTGTATTTCCCCTTCTAAGCTTGCTTTCATTTTAAAGAGAAAATCCTATCTCTATGGCTGCCCATAAGTGTGATATGAAATAACGTGTATGGCAATATATAAAGAAAAAACCGTCCTGTACCTACCACGTGTTCAACTCCAAAGCTAACAGGAGACAGGAAGGGGCGGGGCGCCAGCGGCTGACAGGCAGCGCCGCAGCGGAGGCAGAGGCTGCACCACA